AAACTGAAGAAAAAAAAAAAAAAAATCTAATATACAGAAAAAAATGTGCGGAATAATGAACACTATAATGTAACACAAGATTAAATGGTAAACATAACCATGTTTGATTACCTATAAAAGTCAAATCAATTCAAATGTTATAGTACATGTTTACTAAAATATATCAAACACTATTTGTCTAATGATGTGTTGATCGGAAGAAAAAAAAAAATCAGCATAGCGCTCTCTAAGCTCAAACCTAAACTCAACTACTGAGAGGTAATCAGGACTCGTATTTGATGAAGACACACTCTCACTCACGCACATGCGTTCAATAAAGATACGTACTGGAAGTTCGATTGATAATGATATTGGTAATATGACACATCTTTGAGAAAAGTGGCAACTCCAATGGATCCCTTCTACAGTACGTCCGACCCATCATAGTTAATATTCGCGCGCGCTCTCTCCCTCTCTCTCTCTCTCTCTCTCTCTCAGGTGGAGGCAACATTAAAATGAATCTACAAGGGAAGTGAATGACGAAGGATGTTAACACCGGGCCTGATTGAACATTGTTTTCCTGCATGCCGAGTTTGATTAAAGGAAAATCCACATTTCAAAGAAGAGAGAAATGATATAGGAGAGCAGGATGCAGGGTGAGAGCGTGGCCTCTCTCGTGGGTGATGTGTTGTGGTTGTACTGTCAAGATTGTCCAAAGGCGACAGAGAGGTTTCCTTGGGTCTGAGATGTGGGCGGGACGGCTGGTTTTAGGGGAAAGCGGTGGGGTAGAGGCTGAGGGGCTGGCTCTCATTGGTGGGGAGAGGGGACCGGTAGCCCTCGAAGTTTCGGGGAATGCTGCCACTGGTGGAGCCAGAACTATTGCTGAGCGTCTCGATGCTTCCCTCCCTCTGGAGCTCTGCTGCATTCAAAACACACCACACACAGAACACACAGAGAGCGAGAGAGAGAGACAGACTATCCCCTTTAAGCTGCACAACTGTTTTAATAATAAGAAAAATAAGAAATGTTTCTTGAGCACCAAATCAACATATTAGAATGATTTCTGA